TTAGTGTGCCATCATCCATGGCACGTCTTGTGTTTAGCTTGAGTTTCTTTTTGTTCCGATCGGCTCAGTGACGTTCATGCTCAGTGTCGTTCTCCTGAACTCAACAAGGAGGGTTCGAACCGCGGGCGACCCTTTGCCAAGCAGTTTTGTGAGCGTCGCTCACAGCCTCGGTATCCTTGCAACTTATAAGGTCCTCATATCTTGTCTTTTTTGTTGTTGTTATTTTTTTTAAATAAATATGTATTTCCGGGCGTTTATTTTGAAACCTCTGAATAAAGCAATGTAATATTGTTACATCGTGATAAAAATCGGTGGTGGGAAGAAAAACAATGAATAAAAATAAAATGTACTTGGCGCACTCATTGTGAAATTAATAGTTTGTGCGCCTAAACACAGCTCCAAGAAGTTCACATCAAATCTATATGCATTGAAATGACTAAATACACGTCCTACGGCGAAAGAGTCTCAGAGGAGCTACCAATCCATAGTGTTCTCGTTTTTACTACAGCAGTTCAGAGCATCCGGGAAGGGTGCAGAAAAAATTGTGCATCCGCTCCAAACTGCTTGTAAAAGCAGAAAGCAGACTGGCTGCTTCGTTAGTTTGTTTTTGTTTTTTGTTACCTTTTCTCCCTTCGGTTATAGTCAACTTCCCCCGATTGTGGACACGCGTATTGTACGGTCAATAATAGATAATTCACAATAGGGAGTAAGCACAATAAGGCAGAAGATTATGTCAACGTAAGCTCTAAAGCTTAAAAATCCGCGTACTGCCTGGGTTCTACTCTGTTGACCCTTAAGCTGACAGTACGGTAGAAGCGACGGGCTTGTAGAATCAATCACCCGCCTTTCTTTCCTCACCTGACTCCCCTCTCTGTGCGTGAGTATAGACGAGAACGTGATCACGTGGCAAAGAGATGACGGTATGAGTGGTTTAACAAGCGCGTATCTTCCACCCCATTTTCAGCCTACGGCGTGAATAGGGTATCGGGAAAACAATCCGCTTAGCGTACACCGTCCGTCGGGCCAAGGCTGCGAAGAGAACCGACGAAGCGAATTTCACTCCCAGTGGTATTTCCGAACAGAGGAGGAGAGGCTGCGCACGGCTTAAATTGTTACAAAAGTGTCCCTCCTCGGGCGACGGGACCGCTTCTCAAGTGTCGAGGCGGGGTCGCCATCCTTGGGATGGCTCTGTTGCAATATCCTTGGTGGTTTAACCCCCCTCCTTCGTTTCGCTCTCTGCTACTCTGAGTACATGATTATTTGCGTCGAAGGGCCATCCGCGTCCAGAAGCTCCTAAAGTATGAAGTCTCGGCAGGGAAGTCGTGGGCATAGCTAATGACACCATAAAAAAACTTAGAAACTTGGGCTAGTTCAAATAATCTAAAAATAAGTGCCAATAAACCGAAAGCTCTCTTCTTTCGCCCCAAAACTAAGTATTGTGACCTTCCATGCGATATTATTTCAAACTCCTCTCCTGTCGAACTAGTAAGTTCCTTTAAAACATTGGGGGTGTTATTTTCGAAGTACATGTCGTAGATCAAACACGTCGACATAGATCGTAGACCGAAAACGTCGAACGACACCGGCAAGTTTCTAAACTCGCTTGTGTCGTTGACACAAGGCGTGGTTAGACACTTGGTAGCACTCCATTTGATGTCGAACATGTAAAAACTTCCTGGGCCTACATATTCACATAGTTGTCTCGATATTATTTAAAGGGGAGGGAGAAAGAGGGGTGTATCTATGTGTGTGTGTGGGGAGGGGGGAGGGGGGAGGTGCCCTACCAAGTCTGAATTACCCGGCTTCCATATCAGGGGTGACAGTGGCAACGGCCATTGACGGTGGTGATAATGTGTGTGTACGTGTTAGGCGAGTCGAGAGCGTTTTTCTGGCCCCTCATCGCATTGTTTACTTCGAATGTTTGCAATTTTTATAGGAGCAGAGGGGCGGGCTATCGAACCCGTCCCCTCTCCCTCTGTTCCAACGCCACCCCAAGGTACATAACGTTTTTTCTTTCTTCAATGTCATATTCATATGTTATGTTCAGTCATCACAATACAGGATTGTTGTTAGCTCTTTAGTCGGACTGGCCGTTACCCTTTTATAGGCTTCACTAGGCATATTAGCTGTTAGCTGTTTGCAAGCATAAGGAAGGGGTTTGCTTTGCTTCTGTCCCGTAGGAAAGTAGGTTGAGCACAATGTAACCCTAAAAGTCGCAAAAAAGCGTTGTGTCTTGTTTTTCTTTCTTTTCTTTACAGCAAACTGCTTTTCACCCTGGAAGAAAAACAATTAGGCAAACTCGCGTCTTAGTTTTGGATAACTGACCGCGTATCAGAAAGTTTTCTTCAACTTCAGCGGTCGCAACTGTAAAATTCAGATGTAAAACTTTCTTTTTATGTGCGAATGTTTTTTTGTTTTTTTTTTTGCCCCCTTAGAAGCTAATTACGAGTTTTGATTGTTTACTTCCATCCAGAAAAATGAAATGTGAATAGAATAAATACTAAAATTTTGTGCTCATGGAAACTACTTAGTGATCATCAGGACATCACAATTTGTAGCGCGTGATAAAGGGGGCAAAGCTAGTTCTTTTAATGTTGAGACGTGAATCTGATAAGCTCATATAATATTCACAGCGAAGGCCTAGAAATCCGCTTTGAAATTGTAACGTTTATAAATTTCCTAACCTGAACATGAATAAAACAGCGTTAAGCGATTACTAAGTTATTCGATGAATCCACGTTCAGTAGAATCTTTGGTACCCCTCTAACACGAACGTTATTCATTGGCCTCTTTATGCAGTATAATAGCACCGACGTTACTTGTGTTCTCTATACAAAACACATGCTTAGTTTGCAAAGCTTTCGGAGTCGGATATTTCAAGTGCGGCCCCTGAAAATCTGAGTAAGAAGGTCTTGCGTTTTAGTTGCAAATCCAGGTTACATGCGTAAGCATATACGCATATATTCGGAAACAACCATACTGCATCTTGATCTTCAGACCGATACACTCGAAAGTCAATGTTGTTATGTTATGTTTGAAGTTTTGTGTTGTTAGGCACGTATTATTTGCCTTTAAATTAGGAAAATATAAGTTTGTCAGAGCTGACGGACCTATATCAAATAAAAGTAATATTCTTTTTCAACATCAGCAAAAAAAAAAAAAAAAAAAATCCCTGCCAGAAACAGTAAGCGACTGGTTGCTTAGAACACCTCCTTTTTGAAGCGATGTGCTCCTGTGCCCGACGGCTGGACCGCACGACCAGCCGACCCAGTTGACCACCGCCCACCCCACCCGCAAACTTCTCTCTCACTTCGAGGGGAGAAGGAAGGGGAAGACGATATCATCGGCTCAGCGCGTCCGACCCCGCTTCCCGCTTCTTCGCTTGTAGTCCGCTCATCGCGCCATCTGGGAGTTCCTGGGGGAACTAAAGCAAATGTCTCCCAATCCTGGCCTGTCACGATGTCATAGCCACGTGTGACGTTACGCACCACGTGACGTGATGTCATGCGACACGTGACGCTACCGACGCACACACGCTTGGGAACGAGCGCAGGTTTGTATGAGGAGGCTTTGCGAACGGTGCTTGGTAACGCTATTGCCTTTAAGCATCCCCCAAGTTTTTTTTTGTTTTTTTTTGTCAAATTTGAAATTAAAGAAATAATATTTTCATATAACAAGCAGATTGATAAATACCCTTTAGAGGGAATAGCTGTAAGAAATCTGTTGTTTCATGTCCCAGCTCATGAACATCACTATATTCAAATTCACTGACCTTAGAAGTGAACGAGTGGAAGGTTGAAAACAACCTTCATGAGTTTAGCTGAATTTTCGTTTAAGCATGGTGCATGGTAGTGAAAGACTTGGAGAAACTACCTATTCAACATTTGATTAAAAATATTTGGCCAGAAACACTATTTGTTTCGAATTCACTTCAAACTCAAATACCACTATTCACACATGACTACCATAAAATCCCGTAAGGACGCCCACCCAAAATGAAGAGATAAGTGGTGAAAAACGTGGGGTGGGTTATCCTTGGGGATGCCACAGCAAACCTTTATCAAAAATTAATGATAAGCACCGGGGCACCCGCTACAAACCACGTGACGCGGGAACTGATACCGCAGATCGCGGACACGGCAAATTCGTGTTTCACGATGCGATAAACACGCGAGAACTCGCTACAAACTCGATGCTGTGTCACAGGAAAGGGTACCGCAAGTGGCCGACGCAGCAGATTCGCGTTTCACGGTGCGAAGGACTCGCGGAATCCCGCATCTCACGGGAACGGATACCGCAGATCGCGGACGCCGCAGATTCAAGTTTCATGGCGCAACAAAGACGCGGGGACCCGCTACAATCTTGCTTGTCACGAAAACCGATACCGCGCGCGGAGATCGCGGACAAAAACACGGGAATACGCTACTAACTCGTATGTCAGACACAAATACCGCAGATTGCGGACGCAACATAATCACATTTCACGATGCAATATACACGTGGGAACAACTAGCGTGTTACGCGAGCCGATATCACGCGGAGATCGCAGACAGAAACGCGGGAACCCGCTATGAACTCGCTTCTCGGACACAACGGTACCCGCCGATCTCGCCGTTGATCCTCGATTCCCGTCGGACATCGCTTGACGTCAAACGGGAATCGGGGGGTGGGCGATGTGTCGGAATTTTTATGGTAGAGATATTTAGCCAGAAAAACGGGATGGGCGATCTCTCGGGAGAGGGCGCCCTTACGGGATTTTACGGTACTTAAACTACTCAAAGAAATTGTTTTCAAATCAAGTAATATTAAAGTGGCTTCTTCTTATACATTACCTTCATTCTGGCCTTATGTGCAGTTTAGACCAGGGCATGCTAAAATGTTGTGGTGTGGTCTATGCTTCACAGTAACAGACTTATCGGACATATGTTTCAGGAATGCATCAGTTATTATGAGCAGCATGGTACACACGTCTCTGAAGAAGGAACGACAGGTGAAACCACTGCTAACTCAATCCACACTCTTCTTCACTTGACGTGAGGCTGACAGAGCAATTGGGGGAGGGTCCACAGAGTACAATTCTATAGCTGATGAGCTTGCAGATCCACCTTTATGCACCACTTGTCAAACGGAAGCCAGTGTTTTCTTTATAGTGTGCAACAAAATCATCATGAGTAAAAGCCCTGCAAAAATTTATTTTTTAAATTTGATTAGGCAATTAGTAATTTCAGACGCTTTCTCAAGTAAAGTTTCAAGTTCTATGACCAATTTTTCAGATGATGACCTCTGGAGTTCACTCAACTAATGTTGGTTCCTGTTCCTGTGGTGACTTGCATTCTTTGGCCACTGTTGGTTCTTCAACCACCGTGGGTACCTCAGCCACTGTGGATTCTGCCGACACTGTGAATCCTTCAGCCACTGTCGATTCTTCAGCTACCACCGACTGTTCAGCCATTGTCGATTGTTCAGACACTGTCAGTTTTTCAAGCATTGTGGGTTCTTTAGGAATGTTTACAATCTCTTTGGTAGCTGCAACCTCCAGCTCTCCTGGCACCTTCTGCTCTTGTCCTCTAGACTCTTCTACCATCTTGGTTCCCTCTGCACTGCTCTTGCTCAAATCATCTGCCTCGTCCGCGTCCACACTGGCTGGGACGGAGAAGTCTTCCTCGAAGTCGGACACAAGGTGCTTCATGGGCTCTATGATCATGTCGCAGTTCAGGTGACCCATATTTTCCTGGAAAGTAATATTATCCCAACTGACTTCAATACGTCACGGGCAGAGACCATCTGTAACTGCTCTACAAAGAAAGCGTGATGTACGCAAGTTAAGATCACCTCCCCAAGACTATAGCTTTGGATTCAATGTTTGCACTGTTAATAAAATCTTCATGTCTCTTCCTAGCCTCTGAGATACATTCATAGTTTGTTGCAGCTATACACCACTAAGCATTCAAAGTACAACGTCCAACAATCTCTGGCTACTTCAAAGACGACAGAAAGGGAGATGGTAAAGAGAGGTGAAGTGGTCTCGCAATCTAAGATGAAAAGAACACAACTAATGTAAGCATCTTCAGCGAAAATGAACATTTTCAAAAGTATAAGTGTTTGTACCAAACTAGTAATTCACCCTTGCTGCTCCAAACTCTAGGTGCTTTGTCCAACTTGCAGGCTCTTTTCTCAGCTATGCTGCGGAGGTAGGAAAAGTTCTTCCAAATTACATGGCATGCACAGCTGTTAAAAAGGGGGTGCAAAACCAGGACAACTATTAGTTAAGGGGACTGTTCACATTGCAAAGCAACTTGGGCTATGAGCGATGCCCTAAAGATTTCTTAGAGAAGAGATTGGCCACGGTTCGAACCCTCCTCCTTGCGCTCTGGGTTATGAAATGGAGCCTCGATGCCACAGAGGCAGTCACAGGAGGTTTTGGGGGAGTAAACCGTGAAGGTGACATTACTTGTCCCAAGCAATAAGTTCTGCAAAAAATGCGTCGAGGCTCACCATCTTGGCCACTTGGGCCATGGTGACTCCCAGCATCTTGGCAATTTCAGCCCTGGGGAAGAGCACGCCGAGACAGCGGTCCAAGAAAGGCACCAGGTCGTGGGCAAAGGCGGCGCAGAAGCGCGAGAACGTCTCCACTTCTTTCTCTGTCAGGCCAGACTCTTCAGCCCTGCGTCACAGCACGAAACAAACATTTATTTCAACTCTCAACGTGCGAGAAAGAAAAGCAAGATGCCGAGTCGTGGCTCCGTCTTGACAGTGCCCCGCAGACTGCATCGTCCCTGACAATTCTGAAGTTAATAAAAATTTAATACGACAAGCAAAGCTTGTTTAGATAACGAGAAGGCTGCTACTGCTGCGGCAAGAAGCTGCAAATTGCGTGCTGCCCCTCCTTCTGCCCAAGATGAACAAAGAAACGAAAGAGAAGTGAGAGTGTCTCTTTTGTCTACTTGTCCTTGTATCTTTTTTGCGCTGTTTTCTCCTGTTACCAATCTGCACCGACTAGCAGTAAAAGACTCATAGCAACAAACACCACTTTCCTGCCCCCTTCAGAGTATTAACTTTGTGAGTGCCACACCCAAGTCTATTCAAGTGTGTTCCTGTGTGGTCTCAGTTTTGGTCTGCTTCCTGGTCTTCCAAACTGGGCTGTAACTTTTTTTATGTGTAGTGGCATGTATGAGGTAGCGATGAAATCAATGTATTATTTTCTGTGACGTCACTTTTTGATGGCACATATTTTTTTTCTTTTTGTTTAGGCGACTTCTGTTTTGGTGTGCTGCTTCGTTGTTACCAAATGGCGAATCTATGTCGTTCGACCTCGCATTCCGAATAAGCAATAGCCGAGCGAGGCTGCTCAAAACAGCGACCTCAGGGTGCAAGGTCAAACTGCGTAGCACCACATCTCGAAAAGTATAATGTGAGAAATATGTGACAGATATTGCAGACGTAAAACTAGCTTTTTGCCCATAAAATAGTGCATCTTTTATCAATAAATATTCTTTACTGAGCATGCTACAGTGTTACTAAGACCAAAATTTGTGTTTAGCATGTGGGGAAAAAAAAGAAAAAGGCACTCAAAGGCAGTGGCAGTTCTAAGCAGAGGGGGAAGGGGGGAGGGCGTGCGAAAGGAATGTTTGCCCCCGCCCCCTCCCTCAATTTACTCGTTTTCTTTTTCTTTTTTTGTTTAAGGAAAAATTTGGAAACACTATAAGTTTTGTTTGCTGAACCAGTGAACATTGGCAGCGATCAGAATTCTGTCCCCACACTAACACTCATCGCACACCATCCCTATCGTTAGAGGCTCGAAAGCCCTTAGCGATCATTGTATACAGACCTATTTTCAATCAACTCAATGTGTGTATATGTATCACGAAATGTGTGTGTGTGTATGTATCACAAACAAGAAAATACACACACACATGCGCGTGCATACGTTTGGGAATTTGGGAAGAGGCTTCTTGAGCTTGACGAAGAATAAAAAGACTTTCGACGATACACCTACACGCTGTCTGAATTATTTCAAAGTTCTGGAATTCTCCTCTCAGGTAGCACGTCAGCGTCGCGTTAGGATTGTTCCAAGTTTCCGTAAGCCAGAGGGCTGTATTGCTGGAATGAGGGACACCTTGCCATCTACCACAAAAGTAGGCTTTTCCTCTCTGAAGAATGCAGGAGATTCCTTCTTTTTTGATCACTTAATGAGACAGCATCAAGTGGCACCATGGTTTAGGATGACTCTACCATATATCTTATTGTCGGCCGGCTTGTGCGTGAAGTTCAGACAGAGGAAATTTATAATTTGATAGACAAGCATGTTGAAATAGTTTATGGAATGCTATTTGCTTTAAAACGTCCGAGGGAAAGGTCAGGCATCTACATACCGAAAGTGAGCGGGGTATTGACAGGTGAAATTTAATGCCGTTGTGATGGCTATCTTTCTGAGTTACGACGAGAAGTATGCGACCTTGGAGTTTCAAGTGGAAAGCTCAGCGGACTTTCAGAGATGCAAATTAGTCATCAAGGGCCTTGTGGACACACACAAGAAATCGGTATGCGACCGTTCGAGTTCACAGGCACATCATGGCACTTGCCCAGAAGATTAAATGGAGACGTTTTCATTAATTGCCTCCAGACACACGGAAGAAGTTCCTGGAAGGCATTGAACGGATTGTCTCGAATTTTGCGGGAACGGTAATCTGCGGGGACAAGCCCGACCTGGAGGGAAGGATGGAGGTGGGGGATGAAGGGGGAAACAAAGTTAATGCCGACGCAGAGCTGACATTGACTGTTGGTGCTACTGGCTGCCTGATTATCAGATTTCGAGTTTGGTGGCTCATTTCCCCTTCCCTTCCCGCCCTCCCTCTTCCTCTCCTCTCTCTTCTCTCCTCTCCCCTCCTCTCCCATCCCCTCCCCCCCAAAAAAAGCATCTGCAACTATAGGTTAATTTGTGCGGTTCGAGCAGGTCGAAATGACTCTTCTTTGAATCAATGGCATCGGGGTCACTGGAAACAAGGCTGTGAGAAAGTTTGGATCTATTTGTGTGTGTGTGCGTGTGGTGGTAAAAGGCTGTTGAGGCAGAGCCTGTACATTTTCGGAACTGCAACTCTGCAATTATTGGCCACCAATCCTGCCGCACGAATTCCCCACGTAGGGACAAGAGGGAAAGGCAACGACGCACGAATAGAGAGACTGGCAGGTCAGTCACCGCATTGCAGCCATCGAGGACCCCACCAGATTTCGCAAAGTGATTCAATGATATTGTAATACCGTATATACGCGTGTAATGGCCGCAGGTATTTTTTTATGATTTTGGGCGAGAACTAGGGGTGCGGCCCCATTACACGGAGAAAAATAAAAAAGATTTTTGGAAATCATTTTTTTTTTTTCGCCAGAAGTTTCCCTACTTGCCTTCCTTAAATGGAAGTACTCACATGCCTTGGTAGAACAAGAGAACATTTATGGGTATTGCATAGACAGGCGTGCAAAGTCCTTTTCGCTCGTCCAAAGTAGATCACTCATCTTCGAAACTTCTCTCGGCGTCCGGCGTCTTGGCGTCGTCTACACCGAACTTTTGTCTGGCTGCTTTTCTGCTGTTGTCTTGAGCAAAGGCAATAACTTTGAGTTTAAAGCCAGCCGTGTAACTCGTATACTTCCCCATCCAGAAGCCTGAAGCGGGTTACAGCGGGAAACGGGGGGATGCTCGCAAACACAAAGAGATGCACTGCGTCTGGTTCGACATTGTTCGTGATAAAGCGAGAGGCGCAAACATACAGGATAGAGTGCCTCAATGTTGTTGGCTGCCACAGCCGGGTGGGCGCCATCTGCCTGCAGTACTTGAAAAAAGAAATGGCCGCACCTATGATTCTAAAATCGTAGGTGGTACACGGGTGATTTTTAAATATATTTTTTCGGCTTTTTTTGTTTAAAGTTAGGGCAGCGGCTATTACACGAGCGCGGCCATTACATGCGTATATACGGTATGTCACCCACTCCCCTCTCTAATGCCTCACGGCCCTGAGGGTATAGTAAATAAATAAATAGCCGCACTACGATAACAAAAACTCTTACGTCTGAACTGCTCATGTGGAAGGCAAAATGGCTGCGACCAACTAGTGACATTCCGGTTCAGCGTAAAGCCACTGAGTCCCTTGATGCTCGCGATGGAGATGTGTATCCGAATGTGCGAACGTTACTGCAGATTCTGGCCTCACTGCCAGTCAGCGTTGCCTCAGCGGTGTGCACGCTTTTAACCTTCCGTCGCTCGATGACGTGGTTGCGGTCCAAGATGACCGAGGAGCGTCTGACTGGACTAACTCTTGTGAACATTCATCGGGATATCCATGTTGACACATCCAGTGTGACAGACCAATTTCCTGAGGGATAGGGGGACCGACTTCCTTTTCTAAATGACAACTTCAGAAAAGCCACGCTCTACAATCCGCGAGAAGTAGAAGCTATAATAGCTTATCACTTTCAGAATATAGGTGATACACCCTCTGCTTTAGATTTTCACTTTTTTTTTTTTTTTTTTTTTAACTGGTAAAGATCGAAACAGATGGCCTTTTGACATTAGAAATGCCGCATTTGCACTATCATTTAAATCGTCATTTTGCTCACTGTTCAGATAAATTTTACGTTCCTTGTGATCAATCATCGATGTCTCAGAATCTTGTCTTTGTGTTTGGCTGCACGTACTCTGCTACACTTTCACTTTATTGATTTTGTTTTGTTTCGAGTGTATATCTTGTAAGAATTTTCGGTGTCTCCACGTACACCATGTGCTTTTGGGCCATTCATTTACTACTCTGATTTGCTTTTCATGAAGTGTAAATAGGGTCATTTGAACATGGTCTTTTCAACTGTTGATATTTTGTTTGTCAGACGTTTCCTTTTGCATTATTTTAATTCGCTTGCTGATATGGTGTTTTCTCATTGCGTGTACAGTTTCCAAAGTGTGAATAAGGCTTTTTAAATGCACTTGGCTACTTTAATTAGTGTTCATTTGCTTAGTGTGTATAGTTAAAGAAACTTTTATTGCGCTTTTTGTTACTTGTATAAAAACCTGTCTTGTGACACCTTGCAATGGAAGGTAGTAGCATTTGTAAATAAAAAAATATGTGTGCACTGTCATACAATTGCTTACGGCGGAAGTACTTAGCACGAAGCTATATCGCGAACCAAGGTTTAGATTGTTCATTATCGAAATGCAAACAAAACAACTAATAAAAAAGTCCGAGGACACCTAAGCTATTCTTATGAGTTGTGAGTGCGAAAGCATGAATGTCGTCCTTCTGCTCCCTTAGTTTGTCTGCAGCGTAGTGGCCTGGACGGCCACGTTTCGCAACTGCTGAGGTAGCAGCTGATGGGCAAGCGCGCACTCTCGTGAAGTGGCTGTGCCACGCTGAGCTCGGCTGTGCAGGCTCACCTGAGTTTGCCCCAGCGGGCAGTGCGATTTGGCCCGCGCTGCCGCACCTCTTACCGGCGACTGGGCCGCTCCGTGCGCTGCTCTGCCATGAAGAAGGCTTCTCTAGTGGCTTTTTTTTAACTACGCCACGCGAGAGCCAATGGAAGCCTCGTTCCTTAATGACGTGCACCAGCCAATGGGAGCCTATCCACTAGAGTCCTGCTACAGACAACAGGCATCGTTCCAATGGGACAAAGGAAGGCGCCGTTTGGCGCGGTTTCAAAGCTGATGACGTCGGTTCACTCGACAGTTAATGCTTTCGCATTAAAATGAATTCAACAAATAACGAAATGCTTTAAGAAACAAACTCGTACCCCCTAAAAGCAAAGTCTGGGACCGCCCCAGCTCAAATGGTGAATGGAGGAGCGTCGGTACACGCCCCCACATGAGAACTCGGCAACCTTGGCTGGACTCACAGCTGGAAGCGGCAGATGACGCCCACGATCGTCCGGAGGGAGGTCTCCACGGAGGAGCTGAGCTGCCGGGCGATGGCCAGGCACGAGCAGAGGCGCACCTCGTTGAAGGCGCTCAGCACTCCGTTGCAGTACTGGGACAGGGGCTCAAATTCCAGCAGGGACAGCGGAGGCTCTACGCCCTCCTACAAGAGAAAAACAAAATTTACACAGGCTTGATCATGCTACAAAGGCCAGGAAGCACGCAATGTGCCCCACACAAACCACGCACTCTTATTATTTTTTCTATCTTTTTCTTTTCTAATCCACCCCCTCAACCTCCTATGGTGCCAATCTTCCCCTCCCCTCACCTTCCTACGGTGCTTTCCCTCTAAATTTAACAGGGAAGTGGGATTGGTAGAGGTCTCGTAATGTCAAGTCACGACGTCAATATCCCCCTCGTTCCTGACGCTCATTTCAGATGCTCATTCGTGACAATTTTTTCATAGAAATGACTCGCATAACACATTTTGTGTTAAAGAGACGAGCGAGCCTTTGGTCCCATCTCCTCGCAGACACACTGCAGTACTCCAACTCGCCCCTCGTCGGAAGTCTCTCGGAAAAATATCAGTAGCCACACTTTTAGTGGCTTCATTTCGAAGTCTCGTTGGGAAGCTGCACTCTCCCACTAATGTAGCCCTAGTGCACCCAAATAAATTGGTGCTCGACAGCAACCAATTAAGATGCCAGGTCTCAAAAGGCATACTGACTAAAACCTTTAGTACATTGGCACTCTTGCTATAACCATACATTATGCAACAGTATCACAATCTACAATTGTCTGTGATTTACTACACATGATGTAAAAACATGACGAGTGATCAGGGTTCTCCCCACGTGGGCGGCAGTGGTATTGCTGCCCACCAGTCTGGCCGACTGTCCAACCCTACTATATCCAATCACCCTCTATATTTTGCCCCCGCTGAACAAAACGATGCTGATTTTGAGAATGCACGACACCCCAGATTGTTGTATTTGGCAGACTCGTGTGGCACAATGTGATACAACAGCATAATCCCAACAAACAAAATCACTGGCAGACAAAGTGCAGAGAACAACAAAATTTGCATCATTTGCCGCTGCTCCACCCCTCAGCACCCTGGAAATTGTCACACGTCTGGAATTCAAGAATTTCTGGAGGGAACCCGTGAGCGATGGAACAAACCTCGGTGGTGATTGTTGACATGAGCATGGCAGCTGGTCCCAGGGATGGAAGGGTCACCAGCGTGAAGGACTCCATCATCTTCTCAAACCTGGAGCAAGCAAAACAATTTTGCTTCCCTTCATGAAAGGAGCAGTGTTGTACAGAGTGTGTTCGATGTTAATTTGAACAAACTTTTTTTTAAGGAAGGGGGTGACATTTAGACGAGTGGTGTCTTCACCGTGTATTTATGAGGCCCAGTGGACATTAGAAGAGGGGATAATCAAATCTGTTCATAAACTTTTTAATTATTGGTTTTAGGGGTCATGTTTGAATTAGAGTATTGATGTCATATATTTTTATTAAGGAGTTTTAGTCCTCTAGTATAACAGATAAAATTTTAAGAGTTTGTTACGCAAAAATTAGAGGTGGCGAAAGAAAAAGGTGCAAACTAAAACGAGTGTTGCCATCTATGATCAGCGCCGCAAACTACTCGGATGAGCCTAGCTCGTCCGTGGTATTGAGGGCTACCGGAAAAACCACTGGACGAGTCGAGCTCGTCCACAAAATTTTTAACCAGAAAGCGGCCGACGAGCTCAGCTCGTTTGTGCCTTGGACGAGCTCAGCTCGTCCAAGGCACTTAAAGGGTTCCGAAATTTTCTGAAAGGGGACGGTCTTTAGGATATTACTCCATCAATTTTCATGTTTTTTACTTGATTTAAAGCATAGAAGTTGATATATTAATATCTAAACAAATAATTACTTTTCTACAAATTCTTTAAATTGGTCCGGCCTCCAACAGTTATCGCTGTCAATACTGCAATTGCGACATGACCCCTAAAACCAATAATTAAGATGTTAATTAACAATTTTAGTTAATTAGTCCACTTGCCATAATGATTATCCCCTTATCTAATGCCTGCCGAGCCTGATAAATACATGGTTAAGACAGCGCACATCTATCATTCCCTTTTAAAAAAAAGTATGTTCTAATTAAAATTGAGTTTAGGGATATTCACATTATTGCACATCAGAAAAGTTTTCAGCTCTTCATAGCTTGGACTATGATCACATACTCTCAAAGTTTTAATTCTTGCAACCTCTAATTTGCTCCTCAAGCATCACTGTCACATAGAAATTCAGCACCCACTGAAAAATGTCGATCGATGATCAAATCATGTATTGCTGGCTGATGCAATCAGGCAATGATTGCAGTAAGTGCCATATGACCAGAATTTGGGCACCCATTAAAAATTCCATTCCTATGCAAACTATGCTTCTATTAAAATTCACTTTTGCAATAAACATTACCCTACAGGCAAGCAAAACATAGGAATTAAACATCTTTGATTTTTTAGGTGGAGCATTGATCTCAAAAAGCACCAGGGCACCTGTTTCGTGCACCAAACCTCCAGTGGTGCCACTTCAACTAACTACTTGTTCACGATGGTGTTGCACACAACGCCAAAGCACCATTGAAGGCAGCAAGCTATTGCCCACTCTAGAGCGACACCCAAGAGGCAAGGCGCTGCGGCTGGGTGCAGAAAATATGCTCCGACACCAATGGCAACAATGCCCCACCTGACGGTGGCCTCCTGCACCATGTGGGCGGAGCGCCGTCCAATGGCCACCTGAAAGCGGTGTGCCAGCAGCGGCCGGAAGTCGGCCCCGACCCGGCTGAAAGAGAGTCCGAAGTACATGCACTGGGACAGCACAGAGTCCATCCGGCCACCCAGGTCCCTGGCCAGGTCCGTCTCCAGGATGCGCATGAACTGGGACACCTGAGGTACAGGAACACGGACAGATGCACTTTGACGGGCCTGCTCGGGGCCCTCCCGACACCAAGGTCGCCAGGCGAGCCCGATACTCTAGCTCATTATAGAGGCGTCGATGATAAAAGATGGTCTCTCGGTCTCCTCTAAGCAGGAACAGTGTTGGGAAGTGCTTTAAGTGCATTGTACTTAGTACTACATTAAAGAGTTTTAGACAACTTTTACTATATTTGAAGTACATTCTTTGAGTATGTTCTTATACTTTACTTAAAGTATTTTTTTTCAGGTACTTTCTGAGCAAAGTACAACTCCCGACTTCAAAGTACATTTCTAAAATTTCGTAAAACCTTTTTCCCATAGCAGCGGGGTATAAAGCGGCTCCTTATAGACACAGTGGTAGACAAAGGGCACGAAAAAGTGCTTTTTGGGCAAGCTGATAAATCATGTTTTCGGCTTTCTACGGCTTTCCACTCTGGTGAAAACCAAGAGTGGAAAGGCTGGAAAGGTTGCCGCCATCTATGAGCGAGGCCGGCAAGCTGATTGTCTGGTTGCCACCGTCGCTCATAGATGGCGGTAGCTCTCCAAAGTTTTGTGTACACATTTCTTTGCGGGGGACACAATCCTCGGGAAACTAGCCCTTAACAGCTCCGCTGTAAAAAATGGAGTATCGTAATCATGTAAAAACATTCTATCGTCTTTCGAGGCGTCATCCAGTTATTTCTCCAAGTGAAGTAACGGAAGCTATAAGACTGACAAAAATAAGTGCTTTATAAGTTGATTAGCTTAAATAGTTCATTAGCAAGAGTAAAATGACTACTGTTTGACCTTTTGACTTTATCCAATATTCACCACCATTTCCAAAAATAACTGATGCACTTCCAATTGCTCCTGAAAAAAGCATACCAGTTAAAAAAAAAAAAAACTGTATAGGGGATGAAAGGGCATCATGAAAGATTGTGTTAAAAATTACTTGTACTTTACTTTGAAAGTACATTGTATTTCTAGTACTTTACTTCAAGTACATTGTGCCCGGTGTACTTACTACTTTACTTTAAGTACACAACCTCTCATTTACTTTATAATACTTCTTAAATGTACTTTACCCGACCCTGAACAGGACATGAAGGCAGACACTGCTACAACAGGCTATGGCTTTGACTATGATGCAATCTGTCTCACCAATACAGGTGATACACAAGTGGCAAACTTGTACTGCCTGGATACGTGGGGATACCCAATAATGTAGAAATTTATAAAAACAGCATCCAGCAAAAAGAGAATCTTTCTCCTTAAGCAGCTACTGGAGTCTGAAAACTGGCTCCTTTTCTGGTTCAACTACACCGGTCAATTTATTTCCCCGATTCAAATCAATGTGTATATAAATTAACTAATTTGGCTAAATACACACATTGTATTAACCCCCTTTAATAGTTTTCTTTTCAATTTTTTATTTTAATTTTTGTTTTATTACACGTGCGGCTTGGGTTGCACGCGTCTCCACAATCGGTTGCCATCCTTAAAAACTTGTACAATAAAAACACGTGCTGCCACCTCTGAGCAGTGCCACAGACTATAAGCTCTGAACGAGCCTAGGTCGTCCAAAACAGCCAAGGGGCAAGGTTGGGTGCGCGGACAAGGTACACTCATCCTCAATGGTTTGGGGACGGCTCTAAGTGAATGAGCTGGCTCGTCCAAAATAGTTAAGGGGTTAAGGTACCTGATATGCAGTCTGTTAGCTTATAAAGATATCAATGAAGTATATTATGCTATCTAACTGCCTGATGTGACAAAGTCAACTATACTGGCATCAAAAATAGTACTGGCCATCCACCGAAACAACCGTAATCAAAAATAGGGAATTTTTGCTTTTTGTATTGTGGCTGATGACGCCACCTCCACAGTGAGTGGCTATGTGCATGCACACACTACTAGAGCACTGACCCTAGACGTGATCCAGCTGTAGAAGACACTGGGGCCAGGATCCTGGCTGTCCTTGGTTGAAAGTCCCAGCAAGGGGTCGTCGTCCGAGAAGATGGCACGGTACTGGGTTACAATGTCGAAGAGGTGAACGCGGCATGCCTCCACCACGCGGCTCAAGTGGGTGTAGGCTGCAACCAGAAAGAGAGGTGCGTCGTGCCCTAAATGCAATAGACTACACAAGCGAAGTGTTGTTTCCATGCTAATTCTGCTAGGCTATCATTTGATAAGGGCCATTAAAAGCTCGCCTAATAACTCCACCACTGTTTTCCTCCCTACCTGTCACGAAGTCAACATTACATTTTGCCTTCAAACACATCTAATGCACAATTTATACCAAAAACATCAAATGACAGGGATCGCTCGTTTGCATCGCTTGCATCAAGCAATGAGTCAGCTCTCTTTTTGGAAAACTACAGATAACTCTAGCTCCCTGTTGTTCAAGACTGCAGTGGATGTTTCCATCTGTAATGGCTCTGGCTATATAGACAAAATAAAAAAATTAATGTTTCCAGAACATTCAGTTTCTATCTTCATATTTTAAGTTTCGCCCAATGTTTGCAACAATGTATTTTCTTTATGTTATTCCACTTTGCCTGAAAAAGAAAGAATGATACAAACCATCTTTGTTGGGGATGTTGCTTAGGACACCCTGAAACCATGCTCCCCGAGCCTAGAAAAGAAGAAACAGAAAACCTATAAACCCTGTTAATTCTATCTGTCCATCCGTCATCGTAATGAACTAGGTAATTCATTGGCCTGTGATTTCATGCATGTTATCACACACTGATATTTTTTTATTAAACATTCTCTAACTTTATGTTGCAACATTATTATTAATATGCTAAACTAAATGCAAGGAGGAACCACAAAACATTATTTTGTAATTATCATGCAAGAAAAGTATCTTTTATGGCATTACTGCTCATCTATAAATCACTATAAAATTATTATTTCAATCTTACGGCCCGAAAAGCTACCTAGGGCACGCTGTTACTCTTGCTACTTGTAGCATGATTGTTGGAAATTCTCGCAACTTGTACAACATGCAAATGTGTAAACACTACTCTGCTCTGCAATACCAGATTGTGGGAAGTTATTTGAGCCAAAACAGAGAACAACTCTTTTGATAATGTTAAAGACTGTAGTGCACTAAGGACACTGAACAAATAAGAAGGTAGCTTTATTGAGTGCAAAAAGGCTTCGGTCAAGCTCCGGGCTGCCTTGGATTACTCGCCTGGAGAAACTTGACTCGGAGCTCTGACTCTGAGAAGCAGTCCATCCTACGAAGGTAGCCAATCACCTTGAGGCACGCGGGAAGCTGGATGGTCGAGCGCAGCTGGTGCAAGAGCTGATTCAACATCAGCTGCTGGGACTCACGGACTTCCCCAGCAATGCTCTGCATCCAAAACACCACGCAACATAAAATTTTTAAAAAGAATCTAGATCATTCTTGATATGAAATCTTCATAGGCTGCTTACTACACACACCAGCTTTCTGTTTTTAGAGATGTAGTAGCTACAAAAATGAACTCCCAAAATTTTTTTTTTTTTCCAAATATTATTTAGAGACAATAATTTTCTCTAAATGATGTTTGCAAGACAAGATATGAGGAGGGCTAGCTACTTGGATATGAGTAAAAATCTCTTAGAAACAGCCACTGTATTTCTCTTGCTGAGAGTTACGTTGTCCAACGATTGTGCCTTGCCTGCAGAATTTTTTCTTTTACTGCCGCCAACAACGAGTAATAGGAAATTAATTATTTAGCTCCCATAGCTCCCAGCATCAGCAAATTGAGCAAATGGGTCATAGCCCCTAAGGTCTGTGAGATTCAACAACCTTCGGCTTGCAACACACCTGAGAATCAGGCAAACTTATGCAGCTTGCATCAGCAGCCATTAAAGCAAAATGCAGTCTTCAGCATTAAGGACTTTCTAGGTCATACCTGATACACAGAGGGACAATGCCCAGGAGGTGTCCAGGAACCAAAAAGGCTGCCTGCGTCGGCCGTTCCCCCAAGCGGGGTTCCCAGAACAAAAGAGCTGCTTGAGAGCCACTCACCGTGATGAGGGGAATGGAGGCGTGCTTCTTCTCGAGTCGGCGCACGTATGCGGCCAGCTCGAGGGCTTCGTCGTAGTAGCCGTTGCGCACGCACGTCTCCATCAGCTGCGCCAGTTCCAGCACTTCCAGCAGCTGCGGGTGCTTCGACAACATCTGAGACATCTGCCGCCATCTGCAATCAGCATGGTATTGTACAGGGTGTCACAAAACAAAATTTACAGGGTTTTTTTCACCGCAAAAATAAACTAAGCATCGCCGAAGACTTATTCTCCGCCCAGAGGTAGCGCTAGAGGTCACAACCAGATGCAAAGCTTCAACCCAATCCGATAACTTAATCAAAAGTTATAAGTGATTTTCTGAAAATTTCAATGGGAAAATGGAGCCCATTTTCGCCTGTTTTCGGTTTCTGGTGCCATAGAGCCCCATGTATTCGAAAACTCTGTTGGCCGCCATTTTCCCATTAAAATTTTCAGAAAATCAGTTATAACTTTTGAATGAGGTATCGGATCGGGCTGAAAGTTTGGCATCTGGTTGTGACCTCTAGCGCTACCTTTGGGCAGAGAATGAGCATTCGGCGATGCCTAGTCTATTTTTGCGATAAAAAAGACCCTGTAAATTTTTTTTTGTGACACCCTGTACATGCCGCAACTGCTAACACATTTCCATTTCCATTTGGTAATACATTAAACTAAACATAGAGTCCATGCTATTGTCAATGTTTCACAGTGGCACCTCAATGCTTTCTTTCTCGTCTTTTCCCTACATCAGTGCACAGCTCTTATGGTTCATCACAACTGTGACAGTGGGCCATAGTTTTCACACTCTTTGGAACGAAACATATACAGATCGATCAAGCATGAAGGGAGTACTGGTGAAATACCACCAAACACTGATTGTACTCAAACACTTTTGAGAGAACAAAATACTATGAAAGAAATATAAAGCGAAATGATGGGTATGGCTCAAACTATTTTCTAGATGTGATGTAATGCTATACTTTACAACATCTGGTGAAAAGTAAGCTTAACTTACTGGTAAAGCAGCAAAAAATATGCAAATGGTGTACTTGGTGATACCTCGACAGCTTCAACGTTTGAGAAATAATGGGCGCTCAGGTCTGGAGTTCAAAAGAATGTAAGGTCCCCAAAAGTTGAATTAGGCCACATTCACACAGTTACCTTTTCCCCCATCCTGGCGGAAATGCCGGGAGGCGTTCTCACCAAGGCAGAGGATTTTCGGACTGGTTTGCACTTCAAATGGCACCACCGGAGCCTAAGTGCATCGCAGGACAACGTTCTATATCACCGGCGCTGACGGGGGTGCCAGAGTCCCACCACAACGTGGGAAAACCAATCCCAAAATAGAAAACTTTCACTCAATCTGGCGGATTCCCAAAGGTTGGGTGACCAGAGGCACGGCCGTGGGAGGGGGGACTGACCGTACTGTGCCCCAACGACGAAGCCAACAAAGCTCCTTTCGGGAAGGAGCGGGACGACACAGGCATTGTTTCCTATTTATGGCTCTTCAATAACGGGCATACAGTCATTTTGGATTTTCCACTGAGCTGCCGCTCGAAATGCTGAGACCACATCAGTTTCTGTACGATAGATATGTGAATGCAATTTTAACCCTTTCCTGACCACAGGAAAAGTAGCAATTTTCAAAAGATCCGTGCAAATGCTTGTATTTTCCTAACTTGCATATGGAGCAAGCTGATACATCAAAATGTTGTTCTTTTCAAAGACCAATTAATTGTTCTTTTCGAAGACACATATTTTGGTATATGAAAAAAAAATATTAAAAATGTAATTTCTTGAAAATGCAATGTACATGCGGAGGACGTATAAACACCGAAACTTCTACCGCTATGTCAAATCAAACGACAAATAAGAAAAATACTGAATATTTAAGATGTGCCCCACACCCATGGCTATTGGTTCTGAAAGTTAGTGTACCCTTATCAACATTGTCTATTTTTGGTTCGTCGGAGAGTTCCCCAACACGTGTGCTTTGCAACAAAGTAATGCTTATATTGGTGAAGCATAAATAGTACACTTCACATCCCCAGCAGGATGCTTTCATTCTGTTCTATCTTCGCTTTTTCATAGCCTTGACTGTAGTTCCCTCATATTTAGAATTTTTGTGCGCCTTGCTAGGAACATAAATTGTGCGCGCCGGCTCAGGACAGCCTTGGAAATTATAGGGATGCTTAATTTGTTAAGCGACGCCTATAACATAACTTAAAGTGTCCCCAGAGCTCTCGAGGTCTAAAAAATATGCCACAATACAGTTGAATTCTGTAAATAATGCCACCTTTGTTACGATGACTGATGCAAGCAGTTAGCCATGTTAGACAAGTGCAACAGCCGTTCCCAGGATTATTTTTGACAGCCTACCACCTTGTGATAAAGCTTAAACATACCTTGAAACCAAAACTAGCATTCTCTGGCTATCCACGAGATTGTGGAATATAATTCTCCACATGAAATTTCATTTCTTGATGATGCTGGGAAACCATAGATCACCGGTGATCGATGGCCTATGGGCTGGTCGATCATCAGGGAAGGAATGTGGCATAACGAGTGATTGATATGAAACGTGTTCGCAGTGGGTCTTGTTATTTTTGTTTCAAAAGTAGAGACCAATAAAATGTTTTCCAACATGCAAGATCGTTATCGCCGACCCAAACGCAAGCTCCAAGAAACAAAGAAGTTGTGGCGGCGCCCATCGACGCCGATCGTCTGCTACATTTGGAGATCGTCGCCGCCACAAAGTAGTCCAAAAGAGGATGATTTCAAGAATGGTGGTAGAGATCTAGGGAAATGCGAAATTGCACGCAAAATTAATGGTTTATATTGGTTATACAATCTAACGAGGTACAAAAGTTACACGCAGATTTTCAAAGGAAGGTGCAGAAAATTTCCCAGGCTAGGTGGTGCAAGCTACCGCCCAATATACAGGGCACAAACACCAGCATCCGTCCATTCATCCATGTAGCCACCACTGGCAGCTCCATCACCGCTAGTTCGAACACTCTACCGTCCCGATTTCGGCACGGTACTGACGGCGCTGGCGCTGGGATGGGGCGAGAAGCCGGCTGTGTGAATGAGGCCTCAATCCTTTTCATTCTCGAGGACCACGAAATCAAGGAACATGGCTCAAAACACCCGCAAAACTTTTGCCAGAAGGATGTTCTTGGAAAGATTAAGGTTGAAATAAAAATACGGCGGTTAGGTGGCACGATTGGTCTTTCACCTGTCCACCCATGCACTACTCACCGTGCCGTAATGAGCTGGGACTCTTGGCTGAACAGCTGGCACTTCTTTGCAAACTCTGGCAGCTTCTCCTGCATCGAGTCCAGTTTGCTTTCCACCATACCGAACTGAAAAGGAAATGTTAAGTTGCACATCATCTAATGTCATAATAGCTTCGACTTAATAGTTGGTAGTTTCTAGTTTGAACTGATTTTCTATTTTCATCCCTGCTTAACAAAAAGCTAAAGAAGTTCTTGAAAAAAAAAAAGAGCTAGAGGTGAATATTAGAGTGTTTCTATCCCGTAAATCTGAATATCACGTTGGTTTCCCCAAAGGTGAATCTAAATAAAGAAAACACAAAAAAACCTCCGACCAGTTGTTACATCATAAAAGGATCTTTCGGCCGCCAAGCATGTGTCGCCCGTGTGGGCAGCGCATGCAATTGCAAGCTTGCCAGGTCTATTCCCCCACACTAACACCAGTCGCAATGTCTTTTTCTGACCTCTTTGAAAATAGCAAGAGTGTGCGTGCATAGCTTTGATAGGCGCTGAAGATGCCCGAAAGCAGAGATTTTGAAAACTCCTACGACGTAACGCTCCGGGAAGGGGGGGCTTCAACGGTACTTTGAAATTTATTTTCTGCAGCCTTTGTGCACCAAATTGAAAAATAATCTCGATATTCAAGATCCTGGAGGCCAAGTGAAGACAATTTAAGTGTTTTTACTCTAATACAAAATTGCTTCAGCTTCCCTTTAAAGTTTATATCTTGCTGCTCATTTGCATAATTGGCAAAAAATTATGCCGACATCACACTGTTTTAAATCAAACTTTCCATTAATGTAGGAGTTTCTTTGCACTGCTAGAGAGGGGAGCTCACCTCTTTGAAGATGTCCCTTGAACATTGTGCTGTCTGAATGAATGTCTTGTAGTTCTCGAAGGCAAGCTCTCGGGTCTGCTCGAGGACAAGTGCCTTTTCCTCAGCAAGTCTTTCGGGTTCTTGGGCTAGTTGTGTTCAAAATAGGGTTATGAGTACAAGCAGCAGCTGGGTCCATATCACGAGCGAATGACATTTTAGCGAACAGCGACATTTGAGCGAATGGACGTTTTAGCGAATAACGGGGGCGCGCGTTAACCCATCCGCCGCGCTGCGCTTTACGCCGCTTCGCGGCGACAGTCTGCGGCAGCTCATTACAAAAATGTGAACTCATTTGGCCCACCCGAAAACGCCGCTTGGCGGCGTCCGACTATTCGCTAAAGTGTCATTCGGTGAAACGTGGGCGTTCGCTAAAACGTCATTCGATCAAGTGAGTGCCTCCCGCAGCAGCTATAGTGGTAAAACTCTCTTCTGCCAGAAAACAACATTCATGCAGCCCCATGGATACAATAGAGCAACTTAAAAATGACGGTTAACATAATGAGCTTCCCCGCAGTATGCATCTTGCAGAAGCCACAGTCTAGCCTGTATGTCAACAATGCGGATTTAATGGTTTAAGACTAAGCAAGCAAAAAGTACACAATTATATGAGACAACATCAATCGCCTCCTTTCGGCTGGACCAGAAATCTAAAAATAAAACACAAATAAAAAAATTAAAAAAATAAACACGCGTTTAGAACATTTTTGTTTGGTTATCCACCACCATGCTAGCACACAGATCTCGTAAATGAATCATGTCTACTTACACAGTCTCGGCACTTGGTAGGAACTTAGCTCTTGTAGGTACGCAGCAATATCTGCATCTTCGCGCCAAACATCCACTGCAAGGAAAAACCATGCGAGCTATTTCTTTATCAATGCGTTAGCATTCGTACCCACATGACAGGGAAAAGCTGACGGCGTCCGTCTGTGGACAAAACAGTTGAAGAAAGAAGCGCGCAGCGTAGACGGGAGAGTAGTGAAGGAAAAAGGCGAGAGGGAGGCGACGTCACGGGGTGGAAGCCAATCCGCGCGCGGCGCGGCGAGGCGAGAGGGAGGCGAAGTCACAGGGCGGAAGCCAATCAGCAGTAGTAATGTGGTTTGTTGGGCAAGTTGGTAATGATTGAACCCATGATTGAACATGAGTAAAATTGCGCGCGCGGATGCTGGGGCGAGTCTGAACTTGTAGGTGTGCGGAGCGCGTATGGCTGGGTTAGTGCTACAAAATGGAGTGTGAACCAAGTACTAGCGCTGGTCCAAGTAGGCGGCAAAAGAAGAAGGATTGTGAAAGAAGGAGACGGGCTGCCGAAACCGGTGCACAGCGAAAGCAGCGTCAGGCAGCGGATGCCGCTGGCGTTTCGCAAGGGTCATCATAACGCATTCCCTAAGAATCCACCGATGAATCTTCCTTTAACTTTTTTGCTTTACAACGCGTGCCGGCGTTGAAATAAATAAATAGTTTTCTCGAACACTGCCGGCGCAAGGGGCAGGCGAGCAAGTTGCTGCGTCAAATGTATGCCGTGTATGCCAAAACGCCTGCGGGTCAAGCGGCTAGAACCCCCATTCGACGTCATAAATTATTGATACGTGGTCACTTATTAAAATCGATTTCAAGTGACCTACCCTCTGTTATATCAACGGAAATGTCGCAGCCCTTTTCAGAGCACATTACCTTTCTCCGGAGGTCCAAGCACCGTGAACAAGTCATCGTGAGGATAGCTACTTTCGTTTTCCCCGTCCATGAAAGCCGCCATTACCGATTTTGGATTCAGATCAAACCAGTTTACCAGAATCCACAAAAATACATTTTGTTTCAAAACCGGATGTGAAGCATAGCTACACTTTTTAAAGAAAATATAAGAAAGACTGTTTAGAATTAATTTTATTGTAAAAAAAATTAAGGTTTTTATTAATGCTTGGGGCGATTTAGCATAATGCATGGTAATTTATAAGTGGCGCTGCCTGTACCTTTTCCGGTTTCGTCTGCCTCTGTCCTTTTTGTACACGTTGGAGGTTCGCGTTTAATTCCATGTGTTAAATATTGTGTCTTCTTTTCCATGTCCCTTGGTTTTTAATGCGTGCTCCCGAACTATCGTCCTCAAGATGCGTTCCGTGCTACTGCTTACAGTGCTCGTCTGCGCCGTGCAGAGTGCGTTCGGTGTGGAGTTAACTTTTGAACTGCCTGACAATGCTAAGCAGTGCTTTCACGAAGACATCACAGAAGGCACGCAAACAACTTTAGAGTTTCAGGTGAGTGAAACGAAATTTAGAGGGACGTGGAGGCAAAAAGACAGTCGTAGAGGCGTCGGAGTACGACATTGAAGGTTGGGTTCGTGTGGAGCCGGCTGGCGAACGGTTCGAAGCTGCGTTGGTCGAACGGCCGGCGACGTTCAAAGTACCCAGCTGTAGTCACTCTCCGCCCTTTAAAGAGGTTCCTGACAAATACCACGACCCATAGATGTTTTAAAAATAAGAGGGCACCTCAGATTTACAGCCTTTTCCAACCGATTGACTCGATCCAGTAATTCGGTGTCTTGGAACAGACTGTTGCCGTTCGAACTGCTAGAGAACACGTAGATCACGGCGACTACTAACGTATTGCCGCTTAAAAGTACGTGTTTTTATTTTTTTTTAATGCAGTGAGTGTTTCGTGTAGTTCAGCTACAGTCGTAGTCGAAAGAAAATGGAAGAACCGATGATGCAGCCATGTGACACGCCGACACCATGTAGTGGTGAATATAGTAACTACATAAAACAGTCATAATCACGTCCACCTCTGTCACCGACTGTTCCAAAAACTCTGGATGTGATCACATAGGTGTGATCATATTGCCTGATCACATGGATCATTGACAGTAATATTTAAGAGTAGCCGTCAAGCACTCAACTGAGTTATAAAAATGACATAAAATAGCAGGCCTCCTTACTGTGGTACTGGAAGCATTCCGAGTTGAATAAAGATTTTGAAGCCGAGCTGCTAGCTTCCTACGATTTCTGCCTCCCCCACATAGTTAAAAAGCCAGGTAGAATGTCGTCGGCACCAATGTTACTAGATCAGAGTCATTTGACAAGCTTCCTAAAATGCCTGGCACCATTTCATTGCGCTCGCTACACTGTCGGCTCGCCCAATGAACAGAAGGTGCGGAATCAATGGAATGTTGGATGCAGATTACCTGCGGTGGAAAAGAATTCTATCGGGTTTTTCATAGTAAAAGTGAAGTTTGCACAAAAGTCAGCGGAATAAAAGTGTCGTTCGAGAACGGCTGTTCTTTGTTGCCCATGGAGGCATTGAGGCCGGTGAGACTAAGAACGCTATCCGCCCACACCTGTTTGCGTGCAGGCAACACAGAAGAACCAATTTTGAACGCCACTCTTTCGTGGAACTTGTCAACTGATAGATCTAAGAATGTTGGTCGGCACCGCTTCATGGGTCTTTGTTGTCCACGTCACATTTTTAATGCGTTAGCATTAGTACCTACATAACAGCGAAGAGCTGACGCCGTCCGTCTGCAAACAAAACAGTGGAAAGGGAAGCGACCCTCGTAAAGAGGAGGAGAGTAGTGAAGGGAAAGGGCGAGAGGGAGGTGACTTCACGGGGCGGAAGGCAATGCGCGCACGGGCGATCGGTGAACAGTGAAAGCAGCATCAGGCAGCAAATGCCGCTGTTAAGCCTGCAAAGCGGACGAACAAGACAGAGGAGCGGAAGCAGCGCCTAGCTCGGCTGGCCGAAATGCGGTGCAAAAAGCGGCAACTCGACGTGGGTCTGCGTGTGACAAAGGCTGGGGCAAAGTGGGCTCGGCGAGCCCGCTTTGCCGGAAAGAATTAAAGGGGAAATCCACTGATGGATCCTTAGGGAATGCGTTAGGATGACTCTTGGGAACTGCCACACACATTCCCTTTTGGGAAACGCTAGCACTGACTCCGTAAGAAAGCCAAAAAGAGGCAACAAGAAATAGAGAAAGCAAAAGAGAAAGCCAAAACAGAAAAGTGAAGGGGTCAGCATTAGCATTTCTCAAAGGGGGATGTCTGTGACGTTTCCCAAGGGTCATGCAAACACATTCCCTGAGGATTCACCGATGGATCTTCAGGAGATTGCCTTTGATTATTGTGAGCAGTCATTGACATTAAGCCTATCCTTGTGCCTCGGTATTGCTCGTTTATGCCATGTCATTTCATAATCTAAGCTACGAATACAGACACTGCACAGCTTTCAAGTTTCACTTTGCAAGAGAGTTGCGTAATAAAAAGAATAGCAGCTTCCATTAGTTTCGGTTTTTGTCTTATGTTTTCGGGTGACTTTGCGTTCCCATGGCAAGTAGAACCATCTGTGGGCTCATCCTAAAAACTTGAATTACCATAATCTTTTAGTAGAACAGCGAGATCGGTTTTGTGCTTATAAACTCCTGTGTGTCCTATTGGCTACAACGTCAAGACTATAGGGGTCGCCTTGTTTTCCTAGATGTTTTCCATCTTGCTCAGTGTCCGTGTTGATAAATGTGAACATTGGCTATATTGAATTAAAACAAAAATTAGAACATGATTTAGTTGTGGGCATGAGCATGTAACTCAGAGCAGTGCTTTATATGCAAGGCCCACCTGCCAACTCAGTTTTGCACCCCTCATCGGCCTTTTGCTGTGACCAAACACAAACACATAATTGATTCGGGTTGTCCCCAACTGCTGAAGTATACCCCTAGAGCTTTCGAATCAATGGATGTTTCATCCCCTCCCCAATAGTAATTGCATGCATTTTTTTAAACAGAAACCTGTTGGACATCTTCAACATTTTTTGTAGGATACAATTGAATGCACTGCCTCACTTGATAAGGTCACTTAACAGCATTGTGATGTCATTGAATGCGAGGATGCATTGCCAAATGAAAGGAAAGCATTGTTGTAGCGATGGCATACAAACCGTAGAAAGGAAGTTTTGCATCTACCCTCACGAGCAACATTAGAGCTCTCTTAAAGTTAAAACAAAACAAGAATGGTTGACGAGTCTTAGTTAGACTCGTCAACCATTTAATGCTGGTGCCATTTTCTGTAGGCAGTGGGAAAATAGCAGCCCTTATAATATATAGCTGCCATTAGATGTAACAGCATGATTCTGAAGACAATTTCTGAGAAATGAGGCAAAGCTGGTTTTAAGATGGGATGGAGATTATGCCACTAAAACCCTGCAAATAAGCACCAATCTTGACACTTCACACAGATTATCTGAAGGTGTGAGCTTACTTCTTGTCTCTAAGAAACTAAAACAAACTGAACTAGTTTGTAGCGATTATACTCCTTCTAATAACAAAGTTTTTCACAGAGATTCTAAGTGAATCTTGAAGCCGGCGAGCAGTTAGGAGCTCTCACCAGGCAACCACACAGACAGAACCCTGAAAACTTGGGGGACTGTTGCCAACACAGCCAACAATTTTCTCTGAAATTGGGTTGTTCTTGCTGTGCTATTTCTTGTTCTTACTTCATCGAAGCAGTTGTCTTGCTCATGCATGCACATGTGGTGATGGTGCTCATATGGTCATGTACATCATCACACATTCATGTGGTCACGAACATCACATGTTCATGTGGTCATCTAGTGTGCATTTTCATGCAGGTGGTGACTGGAGGCCACTACGACGTAGACATGACCCTCGAGGGTCCCGGCAACGTGCAGCTGTACAAGGGGGTCAAGAAACAGTTTGACACCATCAAGTTGAAGGCGGCCAAGACAGGCGTTTACACGGCCTGCTTCAGCAACGAGTTCTCCACCTTCAGCCACAAGCTAGTCTACATGAACTTCCAGGTGGGAGAGGAGAAGCCCCTGCCTGGCATCAACGAGCACTACACCGCCATGACCAAGGTGCGTTGCCGTCTCATTGCCACTTGGGCTTTCTTTATCTCTTGTGTGTGAGATGCAGTGTAACGTGCTATGACTGTGGTAATTCCTACAGATTGTCGGTGGAAAAAAAAAAAAAAAATTTCAAGGTGATTTTTGTTTTTATGAAAAAACCTGAAAGATCTTTTGACTGCATGTCATGTCTTATTAATATGGTCCATGCTAATACAGATACCCCACTATACGGACAACATTTTCAGAGACAAACTGGATAAACTCTTGCACATTTGTCTCCTTACTAGAGACAGCTCACATTTTGGACAATTTTTTAGGGGAACAGAGGTGCGTATATAAACGAGATATGACTATAGATTCAGCACGGATGTTATTGATTTTCAGTGACCCCTAAGTTATTGGAATGGTTTTGTGGTGTTACAATTATTGTAGCAAAAAATAATACTGCAGGCATAGTCAAACCTTAGTAAACACTAACATTGAAAGGTCGTTCCTCGAAGCCAGCAGCAACGTTGTCAGAACGTGAATGAAGTGTTGCAGACAGACGAAAAACATCTGTACCCATTTTCTCGCACAGATGGAATCCTCGTCAGACGCGGCACACAGCAACCTCAACACCATCGTGGACTACCAGACGCACCACCGGTTGCGGGAAGCCCAAGGACGCAAGCGGGCCGAAGACCTCAACTCGAGGGTGCTCTACTGGTCGGTGGGAGAGACTGTGGCCATCCTGGTCATCTTCGTCGGCCAGGTGTTCATCCTCAAGGGCTTCTTCACGGACAGAAAAACCATCACCACCACGTGAAGTGCACACCCTCTAGAGGCTCGTGTCGCCTTAGTTGCAGACGGGCGCGGAACATGGGGGGGCCTCCTACGGTCATGCAATCTCGAGAGCTAGCCTACTTTTGTCTTCTGTGGTGTGGCATTGACGCACCATAGAAGGCGGTTAGCCAGCTCTGGAGGTTGAGGCATCCGAAAAAGGCACACCTTGTTCCCCTATTGTAAGTGACTGCAAGTAGGTGCATACTGGCTCATCTGTTTTCGAGTAAAATGTTGGTTGTTGCCTAGTTGCTGAAACTGTGTTTTTTTTTTTGTTTTCTTTTAAAGGAGCAGCACCTACTTTTTTCTCATTTCTTTGTCCAGGCAAGTGTAGGGGCATGACTGCTGACTCCCGTTTGGAAAGGTGTTACTGTCCATGCTTCGTAGGAAAGCACCATACTGAGAAAAAGAAGTTCTTCCAATCACTTGCCACAGAGATTGGTGCTCACTCAAGACTGCCCTTCTAACAGAAAGAGGCAATAATATCTCATTGGCATTTGAGGGCTTTAGTGGTTCTGCCACGGCAGTCATTCTTTTGCATCTGTCCTCGTGAGGATTTTAATGTAATTGTGGAGCACAGCATTTTATTGTGACCTGTCTCTTCATGCGTCGATGCAGGTGAGCACTACTGGCCCGTGTTTGGATGTCTGGCACTTGATTGTCGTTATTGGTCGTACGTGAAATAAAATTACTCGGCAGTGTTGCAAAGCCAAGTTTGTTCCTTCTTAGCTAAAATATTTGTCATCAGTAGACTTAATTTGAGGCTTGAGACACATTTCTCTTTCAGGTTGCGGGCATCTTCTAGCTCCGATTCCCACAGACCCTGTCTCCGGATGAATATGACGCTTCAATACTGCGCTCTTGGCAAAAGGGTTTATTCACTCACTCATTGCCTTGGGGGGGTTTCGGGATCGGGGGACGGTCATCAGCGAGGCCGGGAGAGAGTCCGCTGCCCGAGCAGCATCTCCGAGTCCCAGCGGTGGTCGTCCACACCGCGTCATGGGGACGTCGTCGTCCAGGGTCGCTGTCCGGTCCGTTTGTCGAGTCCGCCACTCGACGTAGTGCCCGCACTCCCTGCGCCAGCGTCCAGCGCCGTCCGAGCTCGCCTCCATGACCGGTCCCTTGTGAAGTCGGCAGCCCAAGCTCTCTTCCTTTGTCTCCGTTCTCCTCTTAAGACCTTCCCAAGTCCTTGTCCCGCCGACCGTCCAATCGGGAACCTTGCTGCGAGCCGACCCTCCGACGTCAGCGCTGGGTGAGGGGGCGCTTGCCCCGTTCCTCCCGGAGAGCTCGGACGTTCCGCGACAGGACGGCGACGGGAAACGGGAAGGTCACGGGCAACGAAGGAGCGCCCGACAGTACGGCGGCAGGGAGCGGCAAGGTCGATTTGAATCCCATAAACTTTTTTTGCAAAACTGCCGCACACAAAAAAAGATTCCGTTCGGTTTTTATAACACATATACAGCTCCAACCATACAGTTATCCCATGTAAATGTACAGACATGGGATAGCGCTATTTTTAATTTTAGAATGTCTTTACTGGACATTACAATACAGCAGTCAATGGAAAATATTCGTGCTTTAGAGTCTCAGATCGATATTATTTTAAAAACTTCCCCTGGTTTACCTTTAATAATATTAAAAGAATTGCAGCATTACATACATAAAAAGGAGCGAGAAGTAATTAATACTAAACGACGTAAGGCACTTAGAGATAATGTACTCTTGGATTTTTTCTCGCCCCTAATAGAAAAATGGAAAAACTTCTTTTCACGCCTAATTAATAGAACACAGCATACTAATCCATGTAACTCAGAACATTCTACAGATTTGGGTGGAGAAAAGTCCGAAATATTCAATTATTCTTCCTATGCAATTTCTAAACACGAAGAGATAGTTCTCAAGAAAGGATTAAAGTTTTGCCCCACTCCTCTCAACAATAGTGATGATTTGGACTTGCACAAAGGTTTAAATGAATTTACACGGCAATTACACTGTAACGTTTTTTTCAAAGGAGCTCCTTATCAAGAGCCTTTATATAAACACAAATCTTATTGGATTCCGCCGTTGAATAAACAAAATGTTAATGTCATAAAATACATAGAGGCGGTCCAGAAAGATGTTTTATCAGCGTATAAAAAAGACAGACCACTTAATAATAATTTAACTTATAAGGATAGGCAATGCTTAAAAAACCTGACGGATAACAGAGATATCATAATAGCCCAGGCTGACAAAGGGGGAGGTATATGCATAGTTAACACAGCCGACTATGTATCGGAAGCAATTAAACAACTGAACGACACTAAGTTCTATAAAAAACTAGATTATGATCCAACACTTAAAGGGAAGATGGGGCACTTCTACATTTGAGAAAGAACGCTTGAATTGCGTTCATTTGGCCTTTAGAATAACAGATATCAAAATTATATTTCAATGCGACGCGCCGGAGAGTTACAAGAGCAATTTCAAAATATGGCTGAAGCCCCGCCCCCCTAGCCTTGGGCAGCGAAAAGAGCCGTCGATGACGTCATGGACAGCGACTGTCTTTCGAGTTTTTCTCGCGTTTAACAATACTTACGCAGCAAATGATTTGGGTATTCGGGTTCACGGGGTAAAAATACACTAGAATTCACTTCTAACTCATTTTTTCCAAGAAGCTCCGTAGCTTCCCTTTAAGTTTCGAGAGACAATAAAAATACAATTAAAATACCTAGTAGATAATAAAAAAATAGAGAAAAACATTTCTTCGTATCTCATTCAGGAAAATCCGAGACCAGGACAGTTCTATATGCTAATGAAAGTACATAAGCAAAATCACCCAGGTAGACCAATTATTTCGGGAATAGGTACTAATACAGAGAATATTTCCGCCTTTATTGACGAACAAATTAAAAGTACTGCAGCCGGTGCCCCGTCCTACGTAAAAGACTCCTCTCATTTTCTCAATTTGATTAATGATATCCAAATAGATTTTAGGACTAATAGTACGTTGCTTGTCACAATGGACGTAGTGTCTCTTTACACTAATATACCGCATGATGAAGGTATACAAGCAGTTCTTAATATTGTTAATGAGAACGACCTCACTGTTAGTAAAAGCGTCTTAAATATTTTTATGCACTTAGCTTTAGAGCTTAATAACTTCACATTTATGAATGAGCATTATTTACAAATACATGGCGCAGCAATGGGATCTCGCTTCTCTCCCTCCTATGCAAATATATATATGATGTCTTTAGAGGAGCGGCTACTTAACTCCTTCCCGCATAAACCCCTTTTTTATAAACGTTTCCTAGACGACATATTTATAATTTAGAATAATGGGGAAGATAAGCTCTTTGAATTTATTAATTTTGCCAACAATTTTAATCCACATATTAAATTTACGTATAAATACTCTGATACAGAAATAGAGTTTCTAGATATTAAGGTAAGACTTACTGAAAATGGTTTGAAAACAACCTTATATCGAAAACCTACAGATAGACGTCAATTTCTACATTATAAAAGCTGTCATCCAATACAAAACAAAAAAGGTATACCATACAGTCAAATGCTACGCTTAAGACGCTTATGTTCAGAAGATAAGGATTTTGATATAAAAGCTAGAGCACTAGGAGAGGATTTCATTAACCGTGGATACCCCTTACCGCTAATAAATAATTCTATATCAAAAAGTCGAGCGATCTCTCGGAACGCGTGTTTAGTAGAGCGGCCGAAAAGAAATAATCATGAATTACGACTAATCTTACCTTACCAATCAAAACTTCCAAACATAAACAATATTCTTAGACGACACATGAATATTTTACACATGGACACAGCTCTAAAGGCAGTTATCCCTCGAACCCCTGGTATAGCGTTCAAGAGACCACGTAATTTATTAGATTTATTTAAACAGTCCCGAAACTCCATCGGACGTAGCCTGGTCCCGATTGGTTGCACCAAGTGCAATCATAACCAATGCAGTTTATGTGGGGACATAATTATAGCTAACTCTATTCGTAGCACAGCGAATAACTTTAATTGGAAAATAAATGGTACCTTTGACTGTAATTCGGAAAATGTTATTTATTTCATTCAATGTAGAAAATGCCAAATTCAATACATGGGAGAAACTAAAACAAGCATAAGAAAACGCATGAATCTACATAAAAGTCGTTTACGTAAACACGTTGCCGGACCGGTTTCCCGTCACTTAAAATCCGCAGGACATAACTGACTTTCTGATTTTAATTTTATTATACTCCAGGGGGGCTTTCGAACCACCAGAGATCGAAAAAATAAAGAATCTGAATTTATCTATAGATTTAATACTTTAGAACCGAAGGGCCTTAACAGTTCGAAAGGATCATTGCCGTCTTTTTTTATGGACATTTAATTGAGATCTTCTAATCGGTACCGCACTGTTGCTTTTTTTTTTTTTTTTTCTCGCTTCATCGTTTAATGTGACACGAGCAAACGCGTAACATTGGGCCTCTCATTGGCTTCACATGACACCAGGTATAGTTGGGTTATACCCAACCACATGTCCCAAAAACTGGTTTTATGATAAGAATGGCAGTAATAATATTATATTTAATTATTTCCATAGTATTTATTGCATTGGTATCGGGATATATTAAACTTTTAAGGGAGAATTTAGTTGAGTAGGCACCCGCTAAACGGTAAGCATTTTCCCAATTAACTTCTTCTTTTTTCCGGCCGTTTTTTTTTTTTGATTGAAAGAAAAGGAGAACGAAGTACTGACGAAGAGCCTACCAGGCCCGAAACGTTTCATTGATCTCTTGTTTGGCAACCTCCTCGGCTAACTCCTTTAAGGGCTAATATTGTGTTGAGCATATTTCTCTCGAGTGCCGTCTTTTGTTCCCAGGTGCTGTTCCGTATATATATATATATATATATATATATATATATATATATATATATATATATATATATATATATATATATATATATATATATACACCCAGAGAAGGATAGGTGGGGGTACAGTTCGTGTGGAACGCAAATGATTGAATGCATCTCTTTATTTCAGTTTATGCACCTCCACTTTGCTCATACTCTTCATCTATTCACAACTCCAGTGCCAAAAAAAAAGACAATGTCACTTTTATTGAATTAGATAGGTACTGGAAAGTGGAGACCAATGACTGCCTGCCATACTTGACAAAAGGCGTCTGCCCAAAATTAACCTCGTTTTGCCGTGAGGGTGCGTCTCAAACTGTCGTGAGTTTCTGAGTCGCCAAGGGCAGGTAGGTTAGACAACGACGCCAGGCGTAGTCTGCACGGGACGTGACCAGGTTCCGTGCAGGCCCCTCGTTCTTTGCTGTTTATGGCTGGTGATTTCCTCCCCTCCACTCACCTCCGGCGTTCGCTCTGCTAAAGCGGAAACAGGGCTTTCTGGGAGGAACTTATCCTTTTCGAAGTGACCGTTCTTCGAACAATATTTGTTTCTATTTCAGTTTAACGTAAAAACCGACAGTTGATTTGCGACAACAAATGTAACCAATACCTAAGCCCGGCAAAGTGTCGCGATGCAAGCGATACATCGCAAATGTATTTCACTGATACAGAGATACATTCACTCGAAAGTATATCTAATTGATTCTATCGCGATACTGTCCAGCCCTGGACCCGCGGTGATGATGCACGGATGAACTTGGTACGTATTTTATGCCTCGACGGCGCGAAAAAAGCCCTGTCAA